GATATGATGTAGTTAGAGGGGAGGGGAAAGAGGGAGGAGGAAAAGAGGAACAGGTAAAGGGACACAAAAATCAACTACAATGTATATTGAGAAGTTAAAATAAAATAAAATAAAATGTTATAAGATACTATAACATTTTATACTATAATAAAATGTTATAGGATACTATACATAGTATCCTAAGCCTTAAATTGGTGATTTATATCCTGAGTGCATGATCCATCAGTAAACATTAAGTTGGCATTATGAACAAGAATATCAGACAAATCAAGTCAGGGCCTAGTGTCTTCTTCTATTGCCATTGTAGTACAGTCATGATCATCTATTTGATCAGGATCTGGTAAAAGAGTAACATGATTTACAATATTGCATCTCCTAAACACAATATCAGTATTAATGCTTGTTCATAACTGGTCTGATGGCACAGCTACAAATTCTGGATCTCTTGCATTTGTAAGATAGCTGTCATTGCATGCGGGACATGCAAATAAGTGACTAAAGGTAAGGGCCTGAGCCCCTTAAGAAGTGTTTCCGGGGCCGGCCCGTGGCGTACTTGGGAGAGTGCGGCGCTGGGAGCGCAGCGACGCTCCCACCGTGGGTTTGGATCCTTTATAGGACTGGTCGGTGCGCTCACTGGCTGAGCGCGGTGTGGGAGACACCACACCAAGTGTTGCGATCCCCTTACCAGTCACGAAAAAGACAAAAAAAAAAAAAAAAAGGAAGTGTTTCTGCTACTAACATAGCATCCTCTCAGCCATGGTGCTATTACATCTAAAGGAACTGAGATATTCATTATTCCTGTGTTTTCTAATACTAACTTTTGAGTTAAAACTGCAAAAGTAAAACCTTTATATTCATGACAAAATAAACAGAAAGGCTTTTCAAAATTCAGAATTCCCAAAGATGAGACCATAGCCGATTTTAATTTAAATTCCTCTTCAGATTCTACCAATCGAATTAGAAGATCTGAGGAATTATCATGCAATTTTTCCATCATAGTTTTGCTCACTCTGCAAGAGCTAGAATCCACTGTCTACAATATCCTCCTAGTCCCCAAAGTTGTCTAAATTGTTTTTTACGTCAAGGGATTTCATCTGCAAAATGGGCTGAGCTCTTTTTTTTATTTTTTTAGAGAAAAGGCTTCAAGTACAGCTGTGAGCAATCCCTTTCAATGGGTCTCCAAACTTCTTTGTTCTCCCTTGGCTGTGAGGGTGATGGAGAGTTGTCTAACCCTTGATGCAGTGGTCATCTTCTGGTCCCCAATGTGCTTGCTCCATTAAATAAGTAACGTCTGCTGGTTGCAGAATGCCACACTGTAGCCATGCACGGGGATGTAAACTGAAAAGTGCTGCAGAGGACACTTCTGGGAATCAAGGAAAAGAAGCTTTGTTATGAGTCATGTCAGCTAGCAGGGAGGATAGCTCCTTACTGGCATCAGATCACCTAAAAAGAGCTGGTTTGCCTCACATTATGATGAGAAAAATGTAGTTCCCATGTTGGTATTTATCAGCCTAACACTTTTTTTGTTTGTTTGTTTGGTTTTTTTTGTCTTTTTCCAAGTAAGTAGTGAAACGACTCTACCTCTTGTCACCTTTGTATAGGAATACAGTCTTTTACACAAGTTCTTAATTAATTTCTAATCTTGTCCCTTTATAGTTTCTGTTTGTCTAGATACATGCTATACAGACGATAACAGACTTTTTGAGGTAGAATCTGTGCTAAGACATTGAGTCGGCTCAAGGTTAGGGCACAAGGCACACAAACATATGTACTCAAACAAGGCAGGTAATTCATTATCAGCTGAAGAAGTTGTGCCCTCGTCCTTCTTTATGGGGAAATCCACGAACAAAGAGAACCACATGTTTAAAGGACTATTGCTTCTCTTTTCCCAGGAGTCTATTTGAGGCAAAGAAGAAGAAAGAGATACAGGGAGAGTAGAGGGAACAGAGACAGCAGAAAAAGAAAAAAGTGGGTTCTGCGAAAGAGAAAGTGCCTTTAATTTTCACATTTCCTCTTTCATTCTTTTCTATCTTCCCTTCTGACCATGCAAATAATTTTTGACTTTCCTCTCAGAATGATATTCATCCAATAAATACCAGCAATTTATTTCCTTAGGATGAGGTCTAAGAAGCCTAGGTACTCATATGTATTCCAAATGTGACAGAGATGTTAGCTGTGTAAGAGAAAGAACTGCAGGCAATATTCCTGGCTTCTTCTGATTTTCCACCATCAAAGCTAATTGTGATCCTGATGGGATTTTAGGGTCCAAAGTACTCATGCTTACCCATTAGTAAAATTCGAATTTGGAGAGGGAGTTCATCCAGCCACTATTCCAAAAGAGCAAATCACTAGAATGTAGACTTTTTATAATGCAGGGTCTCTTCTATGACTTATTTCTGTGTGGCCAAAGGACCTTCAATTTGTCCACTCAACTCAGGAACTGCCATCTTATCCTATCATTATCACCAAGTAGTTGGGGATATATGATTAAAAAAAAAATCTGCCAACCTAGTGAATCTTCTCCACAAAATGGAGGAAAAAAAGAATGAAATAGTTTTTCTATTTAATTAAGATTAAACCAGACTGTGATGTGCATTAGAAGGAATCTATAAAGGAGGTTGCAAAAAAGAGAAATAAATCTCACCTTTTTATATAGACAGGCAAAAGCAATGCATTAGGTACATTTTAATTGTCTTTATCAAAGGGAATAATACTACTTCTCCTGTCTTTATGACAAACAGGAAGTTAAATTTTGGAAACAGATGCCTAGGCTTTAAACTCCCACAGAAACAGAGAGACAGGCATCAGCCTCCTTGTATGTTCACATATGAAAGAAATGGCTCCAAGGCCTCCAAGAAAACCATTCTTGGGATGAAAAACTTGCAAGAGAGTTAGTTAGCTTTTAAAAAAATTTACATATGTCTGAAAGAAACAGCTTATAATTTCAAGTTTTCTAAAGGAAATGATAAAGCAAATTGGGGGAAATTTACTTTTTATTTATTTTGGCATCAGCGAAAATTTTAATTTAATTAATTTTTTTTTTTTTAGATTTTTATATAGCTTTACACCAGTAATGAGTTGGGAACTAGGTAAAGTCAATGTTAATAGAACAAGAGAGCAAAGGAGCAATTTAGCCTGCATGTGTTAGTTGTTTATGAACAGATCAAATACCATTCTAGAACTTTCAGGTTGGTAAAACAGTTCAGGACTGAAACAGAAATAAGAGGATGCAATAAAGAGCAATCATTAAATTTTCCCAGAAAAACAACTTTTAGTATTTACTGTGAGTTAGATTCTTGGCATGTTTGACAAGTGTAGACGATGCACATCCTATAAACTTGAGCTTTCATGCCCATTTCATAATGGGTTTACTTTACTTTCTCTCGTGCCTCCACTTGAGTCCTCACTTTTGCCCATAAACGTACATCTGTCTCTCAAAAGACTAGTACCTAGAATTCGACAATTTTAAAGCTCACGTGCCACAAAGTTTAATTAAAAGATGTTTCAAGATAGCGTGTGTGTTTATGTGCATATCAATCGGCGATGAATATGTGTGTGTGTTTTAATATTATAAAAAAATTAAATTGCTTTGGCAGGAAGAAAATAAATATAAAGTTTTATTGTATCTTATATTATCTTGATATCTCACAATTTTCCTCAATATTGTGTACAATCCCATCATTAAATCATAATAATTTACTTAGTTTCTTTGGGATAGATTCCCATAAATTCTGGAACACTGAGCACTGGTTATCTATCTGTACTGCTAATGCAGTTTTCTAATGTCATTTTTACAGTTTGGTGCTTACCTAGTGACCAGGGCATTTTGCTGCCATTGTCACTCAATATATGGTCATCCATGCTGCCCTCTGGAACAATTATAGTGCATTCACTATCCAGGAGAATTTTTTTTTTTAATGTTCTCTTAAGGTAACCTTTTTATTATGAAAGGAAATGTTATACTTTCTTCCTGGGTATAACTTTTCAGCAGTCCTAGTGGTTTTAGCAATAAAGTAGATGAATGCACAGTAATTTCTTCTTCTAGAAACCTATCTTTTTAGTATGTAATTTAGAATTCCCTATCAATATGCCATTTACTCTGCAGTGAGTCTATTTTTTTCCTCTTTCTATTCTTGACAGACTTTCCCCCTCCAGGTCTTATTTACTCATTTGCTTTCATCCTTTGTATGACCCTTGGCTTCAGTTCAAATATGTGACTGCAACATTATTAATGACAGAGGAAACATGAAGTAATTTCCCTGGTTATAGTTATAAGATTGTGCATTACTAAATAAGAGATTATTAATGCATAGATTCAGTCATGCCACATCAAATTACCAGTGTGTCCCTTTAAATTAAACTATTTACAGTAAAATATAGATGACATGCGTAGTCTACAATGTGGAGAGCTATATTTTAAGGCTCATGTGTTCAATATCAGAATTGCAACGGGTTAGATTACACTCCTTGCCATTTTATTGTTCTGCCTAGTATTTGAATATTTTTTACAATATTTCTTTAGAATAAAGTTCTGTGAAACTTGAAAGATTAAAATGTGATATTCTTGGAGTTAAAAAATACTTGAAGATTTACATGTTTTTTGTTTTTTTTTTCAGTATAAAAGGGTGTATGCAACTTGAAAGATTAAAATGTGATATTCTTGGAGTTAAAAAATACTTGAAGATTTACATGTTTGTTTTTTTTTTCAGTATAAAAGGGTGTATGTAACTCTCTGATGGTCTAAAACTTAGTAACCATGCCTCAGGGAGATGAAAGATCTAACCCAATTAAACACATAAAATAGTATTTTGTATAATAAACCCTAATCACTAAATTTTGTAGTTTGTCTCTTCTGTTACATCAACGTGTAGCTCTGTACATTTATCTGACAGTTGTTTTCTTCTAGCAGAGAAAATATAGAGAAACACATCTGTCTCATAATTTGCATGCAGTGGATATTTTAATAACTCATCTGTCCCTTCTTTGTCCATCTCTTTTAGGCTGACTGGAAGCTTTGTCCCAGACTTGATAGTGAGCATGAGTAGCCAAATGTGGCTGCACCTTCAAACAGATGAGAGTGTTGGATCTGTTGGCTTCAAGGTTAACTACAAAGGTAATGATGAATTGCTACTGTGAGAAGTATGTTATCTCAATTCCACCAGAGAATACTTTCAAATTTGAACTTAATTGCATCTACAGAATAAAAGCTTTGCAGAACACAATCAAGAATACATTTCAACAAAATCAGTTCCTCTTTAATCTAACTGTAAGCATTGATTCCACTTATATTTAAATAAAATTAGTTTTTCCTTGAAAATATGTCTATTTCATATGTCTCCTCTATCTTCCAGTCCATTTTACTATCCCTGCACACCAGTCACTCTGGACTCCTAGCCTTTCCCAGAATAGACCGTGCAATTTTATATACTTTAAAAATTTTGCCTGGCATAAAATCTGCTAATTATTAAATACTTATATGTAGCTGTAAAGCACTTAATTCCCCCAAATATTCCAGAGTACCAATTTTGCTTGTAATCTATCAGCGATTCTGTGAGATCAAATATAGTGTTAGTGTTGAGATTATTCACTCCTATTTCATAAATTGCTACTGTCCATCCCAGTGTTGGTAGAGATACAAACTAATGATTAATGATACAAATGAATGATCAGATGTGTATAACAAAGTATTTTGTTCTAGTTTCATTTTTAAGATATTCTAAAGGTTCATGGAAAGAGTCCTACAACCTTTCAATTCTATTTTTCCATGAGTTTTATGAAGCACCCTCATAGATGCAAGCATTATGAAATCGTGCATATCTTTGACACATATTGAACCTTGATTGAAGCCAATATAAACTTACACACATAGCATACATATTAGAAATGCAGATTTGCAATTCTGACTGAAAAATATGTAAATTTTAATAAATTCAATTAAAATCTATGCTTTAAAAACTGGAAATGTAGAAGAGACCATCAGAATATTATGTTGCTTGAAGTTATTATTACTATTGTGTAAAAATCATTATTCTTTATCTTATCAATTAAACAATGGCCTTGAAAAATTCTCTTCATTACATAATAATAATTTTTAATCAGAATTTCATCTTTCACACACTGCTATGCCTTTGTGTCTGGACACATGGAAATTAATGCATGATGTTGTCAGGGAGACAGGGCACATTCATTCTGTTTTTTACTTGTGACTAAATCTGGTACTGTATTAATTTCAGTAGTTCAGGAAATCTGTATTAACGTCAGGATTTTTTTAAAAAAAGTTTAGCCTGATTATAGTTTTAAATATATTCCTTCTCTGTTTAACCAGTAAATAAAACAAGGTTACAAAATTTAAAGAATGATCAGCTTTATTGGGACGTATCTACTTTTTTTTTCTTTTTCCCCCCTTTCTAAATGGTTAAATGAACCTGGCATTCTTCTATTCATCTCATTTTTATTATTTTCTTTAGTCTATGAAGGTTACCTGTCAGAAAATCTATAGTCATTTAAACCTTAGAAACTATATTAATCATTAATGACAATGCTTCAACAAGAAAAGCAGTTATTAAAACTCATGAACAGTTTGAAACAGCAGGGGAGTTCTGGAAATATTTCCTCAGCTCTCCCCTCTGCTGTAGTTCAAGAACTGAAAGTACATTGTAAACTAGCACAATTAAGCACTATTTTGTTCTCTTCCTGCTCAGTTTTCAACAATAGTATTAAAAAAAAATTCCTAAGGACCTGCTTATGTGCCAGGTACTGAATAAATTGTTGAATATAGAAATAACATCCAGATACTGTATCTCCCAGGAAGATTACAATAAAGTGATAGAGAATAAAATATACACAAGCATTCATATACAAATATCCACAGAGCTGAGATATTTGAAACCAACCCAGGAGATTCTAAGTGAAAAATGACCTTATTTTTCTCCCTTCCTTCCATGTTGTCTCTTCCAATCTCAAGTACACATTACTAATGGTGATCTTTCAGGATCAGACAGGTGATCATATTACACTCAAGCTTAAAATGTTTCTCTAACTTTTCATTGCCTAAAGTCCAAAACCTCCACAGATCTATCCTCTAGCTTTCTCCGTTTTTGTATTTTTCCCTAAATTCCAATTTTATCAAATTATCTGTAATTCTCTGAATCCAGCAAGTTGTTTCATACCTCTGCTTCTTTGGACACTCAGTAAATTCTACCTGGGTTTGTATTTTTCTTTTAACCCAGCACCGCCTCACCCATTCTTCAAGACAAAGTTTAAATATTTCCTTTTCTGTGAAGGCTTCGTTAAGTCTACCAATCACAGAAGATCACTTCCTCTGTTTTATCAACTCTGTAACACATATACTGTACAACCAGATGGGAAATAATGTCTTTTTATTTCTGCTAGTTACCTTCCTGCTATATCAGCATAGGTTATTAATTATTTGCTCAATTAAGCTGAACAAATGACTTGTCCTATATAAATAAGTCAATGCAAGGTAAAATATGTAATCAAAAGTTTAGTTCACTATGATTGTTTTTCTGCTGTGAAAATCATATTTTTTTTGTATTCTCCATAATTTAAAACCTGAGCTCAAAGTTGAAGGAGGGTTCATTTTGAGAAGTTTAAAATTTTGAAGTGCAGATAGATTCAGCAACTTTGCCTACTTAAAATAATTTTCATAATTACCATGCTGTCTGTTGAGTAGTATGTTGGTTCTAAATGGAACACCTGCTGAAAACCTTTCCAGATTTGATCTGAAGATACCTTTTTCTTTTGATTTTGCAAGAGATGGCAGTAAATGTAGATCCCCTCTCAATTAAATGTATTTTTATTATATAGTTTGTCTCCTACATTGTTAAAATTTTAAACATAGTGACTAAAATATGTAACTTAGATCTTATTTTCTGCAATATATTTTGATCATTAAATTGTGTTTAGCTAACTACCTAAGAGAGTATTTTTGAAACTTGATTTTAAAGGAAATGAGTTTTCAAATGAAAAATGTTACAAACCCAAATGTTACAAACCCAAACTAACAAAAGATTAAAACTTGGGCTGCTCTGGTGGAATGGGCAAGGGAAGAATACTTTATACCCTCAGTTGGTCAGACTGCTTCCCCTTCTCCAAATATAGGAGGTACCTTAGGGCTTCAAAACACATAGCTTGAAAATGACCGTTCTAAGACTATATTATTGACTAAGAGACAAAAATTTATCTACAAATATCAAATAACACATAATTGCCGAAGTTGTCATTAACTTTAGAACTGCAACTTTAATCTGGGGAAGTATCAATGCTTTTTTCTATATAGTTTGGACAATGCCTATCTTAAAATATAAAAAAGGCAATAATGTTGCAAATCAAGAAAATTGTCCTTTTCTTTAAATACAATTAATTTTTATTCAATTAGGATTTATTTAATGTTTATTATGTGCATGGCAATGTGCTAGTTACTATGAGGATACTTCAGAAAGTTCATGAAAAGATTTATATTGTCTTTTGATTCTATTTTTTCATGAGCTTTTTGAAGTACTTTTGCATATAAAATGGAAATGAATAAAGTAATACTGGACTGTTGAGAAGTTAATGGTATTCCTAACTTGTTAAAATCAAGTAATATACAAATTAGGTATAAAAAGTCATGGCCATCCAATTCACAGGAGATTTATGTTTGCCAAACCTATGATTCAAGATGTAACACTGGATGTTCTTGATGAAAAAGGAAAAAAAGATCTAGCCATTCACCATGCCCCATTTCTCTCAGACACATTACTTTTATTTGTTTGTTTTTATACTGTAGTTATTTCAAATGCATAATAACCAGAAAAGAAGCAAAAAGGAAAATAGTTCTTTCCAGTGGACCCAGTAGCATCTATTAATAGTGCACAGCTTTTTTGATATATTTTCATCTTCATTTTAGAAAGCCTAAGGAAAACTAAAGGAATAATTAGTAATAACTAAGAGTTTGTATATTCCAATAATTTTGCCTATATTAACTCATTAAATTTCATTAGAACTTCAAGAGGTAAGAATTAGTACTCATTTTTACAGATGAGAAAACTGACTAGGATATAAGCACCGTGATGATAGGAAGTTTGGCTTGTTTTGTTCACTGCTGTGTTCCCAGAACTTAGCATGGTGCTAACCTATGAGTATAGAAAGCTCTCAATAAATATGTGTAGAATGTATGAATGAAAGAATGTACATGAGTGTTAGATCATTAGCTTACTGCAGAACATAAATGCAAATTTGTTGACTTCATTCTGTTTTTCCATTATGCGATATTACATCCAAGGTGATTTGGAGGGATTTTCAGAAGCATAAGCTGGAGACTCTAGTAAGAGTGAGGAGCATGAGGACACCAAAGGATTGAGTTAAATTAGTGAGCTCCCATTGTTTCATCAGCTGCACGTGAAAATAAAACATATGCACACGCATGCACACAAACCCACACACCCCCTCACATGACATGACAAAAACCGCCTGATTTCAAATAGAAGGTGTCCATTAATTTCCGTGTAGTTTCTTGGTATTCTTTAAGAATATTTAGTAAGAAAGCTTAAAAATCCATGGCAGAGGCATACAAAGAAAACTCCTCAGCATTTATAGAATTCTAAAAGGGATCCTATCTTCTCTTTTTAGAAATTGAACATTATAATTGTTTGATTAACTTTCAGTTGTATGACACTGTGCATCCTCAACAACACAACATTAGTAAATAACACTGAGTGGTTACTAATGCCAGGTGCTTTTATAAGCACACATATGGTCTCATTTAATTACTGCAACAACTCTGTGAGGTAGGCAATAATATCATCCCTACTATACAGATGAAATAACTGAGGCACCATAAATAATTGAGCACATCAGATTAGGTAATTTGTTTAAGATCACATGGCTAGTTAATGGCATAATTTAACTCTAAATACTGTGGTTTTTAGACTGCTGCCTTTAAGAAACTTCATATTACTTCCTTAAATCTTAGGGAAAATTTAAATTCATCTAGACATTTACATTTGGAATAGCTCTCAACTAAAATACATGTTTAGAGTTTAAAATTTTGATGAAGCATCTGGTTTAATGGGATTACCTACATAATTTTGAAATGGAAAATTTTCATGAAGGGTAATAATTTTTCTTAAATATTTAGAATAATTAATTTTTAAGGTTTAAAGTAAACTCAGAGTCCTTTCCTTCATCTTAGGGCTGATGAATAGAAATTGTTATTTGCCCAAATTCAAGTCTTTAATTTAGTAATTAGGACATATGGCAGAGATAAGATGGATTGATACCAAAAATTTGATAATTAAACAATTATTCAGAAATGTT